TTGTTTTGATATCTCAAAACGCATGTGCAAAAATAGGGAGCTTAAGGGTACATACATATATTTCCCTCAACTAAACTCAACAGAACTGAGCTTAAAATTAAACAAGCAAACGAGCAGTTCTCAAAGACATTTAGTGAAAGCCAGCCACATTCAGGCAGCCAGTCACGTATTACAGCATGAATAAAAATTTCAAAAGATGCTTACGCTATAAAAAATTACAGCAAAGGAAAACAAATCCCAAAAGATCACATTTAAGGCGAAATAACCGACGGTATTTGCAAAACCATACAGCCATTTGACGGGAATCAATGCAATCTGCGTTGTCTCAGAGCCCTTAGAGACAACTAAGTGCTCAGCGTATGATTTATGAAAAAAATATACCTAGAAGCTGCTTAGACTTACCGTCGTTTTGTAAGAGACAGAACTATCCAAATCTAACAGAAACACCTGATTGAGTTCGAGGTCAACAGAGCATGGGAAGCGTTGACTTTGGAAGCGATTTCTACCGAGGGCCAGGTAAAAGACCAGAGCGCTGTCAGAGAGCGATCCTTCCTTTGAGTACTTCTGATCGGAAAGATTAGTTAAGAGAGCTTTGACTGTGAGCAGTTCAATAGATAGTGTAGCTCGATCATACTTTCTGGATGTCGGTAAGTGTGAGCTTATGGTTTCAGGTTGGGATGTTTGTCTGGACAAAGACCCTCCAAGGGCACTGAGAAGGCGGTCAACCACGCCAGCCCTCCGCAATTTGGAGAGCAGAATATCCTGCTGATGCGGGTGATGTGAAGACTCTTGAGTGTTCACCAACGCAGATGCATCATCACATTCCAGGGCACGCCTTATTTGCGTACGCAGATTCGGGCTCTGCAGCAGTTCATCGATTTGAGTTTGTAGTTGACTGAGTTGCATTGCCGGATTGTAAGTGCATCTGTCGTCCGGAGGCCTTTAAAAATGCGAACGGCGCGGTGATAAAAGCAGTTAAGTATATCCGTTTAGGTACATCTCGAATATAAATGG